TTTTAAGGAGCCACATGGATTGCATGTCACTGTGAAGTGTATAGCACCCCAACTCTAGGAGCAAAGGACTTCTCCTATCGTGTACGAGATGAGACATAAAATTATGACGTTTGAAAGGAAGGAGATGAATCTCAAGAAGTGAGCTTTCAAACTTTTGAGAAGGAGTAAATGTAATTCACTCCTTATTATTTCTAGGTTCATGTCCCTACGCTAAGGATAGAAATTTGCATCAACTAATTAGGAGATGATGATGAAAACTAAGAGGAGTTCTCCATTGTAGTGACTAATGCATAAGTCGAATCGTTTGGATAGTCTTTTTCTGAGATCTTACGATGACATATACGGTAATGTGTGATGTTTTCCAGTAGATAATATTCTTTGGACCTAAGGATTAGAGTGAGTGAAGTCGGACGAACATCAATGAAGATCATTGATTATCCGGTGGATAACGAAACAAGCGACAACAAAAAAAAACAAAAAAAACAAATGTAGAATTCCATGAACATTAGTATTTATGATATATTAAGCTTACATTGCATCTTCGAAGGCAATGCAAGATCATCAAGCATGTTCAAAGAAGATGATCATTCACTTCTTGCATGATTCCTCTACATTTTACTTGGATGGGTCTGTATTTTCATTCCTATTTTTTTTTTTTCTCAGATAGTTTGTTATATAGAGAGAATCATCTTAAGACTTAGCACTTAAACTACTTCTCCAATCTAAGACTAAAGAAACACAAACACCATAAGCTACTTAACTAGCAAGTCACACCATATCATTTGTCTAAGAAACAAATCACTCATTGGTGGTTTTGCTGATGAGAGACTAGTGGATGTGAGGGATCACACCTCCTCCTGCAATTGTTCCTTTGACGAGTGTGTCAAGCTCCTCATCTCCTCTGATAGCCAACTACAAATGCCTTGGAGTTATCCTCTTCACTTTCAGATCTTTGCTCGCTCTTCCAGCCAACTCAAGAACCTTTGTAGTTAGGTATTCAAGGATTGAAGCCGTGTAGACATCAGCAGTGGCATCAACTCTACCATGTGCAGAAACTCTGGTCTTGAGTGTATCTGCACATGGTCGACTTGGTGGTATTGCTGCTGTATACACGGCTTTAATCCTAGAGTGCCTAACTGCAAAGGTTCTTGAGTTGGCTGGAAATGCGAGCAAAGATCTAAAAGTGAAGAGGATTACTCTTAGGCATTTGTATTTGGCGATCACAGGTTATAAGGAGCTTAACATAATCATCAAAGGAACAATTAGTGGATGAGGTGTAGTCCCTAACATCCATAAGTCTCTTATCAACGAAACCAGCAAGAAATGATTTGTTTCTTAAGTCAAATGATATGAATTTACAACCATCGACCAAAAGGCTATTTTTACAACTTGTCTTCCTCTTCTTAGCTAATTCTCACAAAAGAAACAAAAAGACTAAAAACCATAAGAGTAGATAGAAAAATAAATCCTAAGCTCCATAACAAAATAGGCATTTACATCTCCATCAAACCCGCGATTAAAAACCGATAAACCTATCTGATTACCACTTATTAGTTGGTTTCAGCAATCACCGAAGTCACCTCCTTCAAAACATCAATCTTCAGCGACAACAACTCAAATTCCTTACCCTCAACCATCTTCATCTTCTCTTCAATCCTTTTCTTAGTCTCCTCAGACACCTTACTCCATTTCCACTTCACAAAACACTCATCCATACCGAGACTCGCAATAACCCGAACCAAAAAAGACTTCTCAAACCAATTCGACGACTCCGAATCTCCTCCAAGTATCACCACTTTCTTATCTTCTTCAACCAAAGGTTTCAAAGACTCCACCTTCTTATTAGTCTTCTTAGATGTCACAGGAGATTCAACAACAGATCCCCAAATAGACTTAGCCAATCCCAAACATTTCTTATCATGATCAGATTCAACACTTTTCTTCTTCCGTTTACCAAAATACTTCTTCTTTAAACCTCTAATCTTGTCACCAAACTGACTCTTACTAACATCAAAGCTTATAGATTTCTTAGCGATATCGAAAAACTTATTCAAATCATCATGAGGACTTGTACCTGTCTCAGCTTTGAAATCAATCATGCTTTGTAACAGAGAGATCTCATCTTCTTCAGTCCATAATCTATGTAAATGCGGCTTTTTGTTATCGTCGTCGCCTGAAACTTTCTTAGCTCTTTTGATGTCCTTTGAGGTGGTTCCTTCACTAGCTCGCTTCTTCCCTGATTTCACCGCCGGTGAATCAGTACCTTCCATCTTCATCTGCTTGGTGAAGACGATTGGCTTATCTGAGTCAGAATCGGAAGTTGGAGCAGCGGCGGAAGGAGATTTTGGGGTTTTAGTGGAGGGAATGGTGACGGGATCTTTGGGTTCGTCTTCTTCAGAAGAAGAATTAGAGATCTGTTCTTCATCATCTTGTTCAGATGAAATCTCAACTTCGTCGTCGTCGCTTGAAGAAGCGGTTGGTGGATCTTCTAGAGGGTTGGAAAGTTTCTTGGCCATTGGGATTTTTCGAATTTCTCGGTGTGATGAAGAAGAGAGTGAGAGAGAGACGAAGTGGAACAGAGAGGGATTATAGGGTTTTGTGTGCGGACAAGTCGATGTTTCTTATTGGGTTTGGGCTTTGATTTTATTGTTGTAATTGTTGCTATACGAGATAAAAAGGTCTCTTTGTTTTAAAAATTTCTATCTATTGGAAGTAATTTTACAAAGTCGATTTATATTTTATTATTTTTACATTTAGAAAGGTTATTTGATTTAAGTGGGAAACCTTTGAAGAAATCAAAGAAGTGGAAAAGTTTGAAAGTAGAGAAATTTTTAGTAAATAAAGACCAAAGTGGAAGAATTAAAAGGTACGGTTTAAAACTTAAAAAGAGATTTAAAGTGCAAAACCAAATTCTCAAGTAAAAAATTATGAATGAAATACTTGTTCTATATTTTTTTTCTAAGCGGGGCCGAAATCCTCTTTGAAAAAGGTTCGAACCTTGCTTGCTATCGATAGACATTCTTTTTCAAATGACTATTACAACAACGACTACTAAATCTACCTATATTTGATTACCGTCTCAACAAAAATAATATATACGAAAGCTCCTTGAAAAAAAAACAAAAAAAAAAAAAAACAAAGTAACCTAGAGCGAAGACTAACCTTGAGTGTGCTTGAACCAAAACTGAAGAATATAATGGTAGATAATTGTTCTATTATTAAATTCGAAACAAAGTAATTAAATTTTAAAAGTGACTTTGAAGTTTTAATTTAATGAGATAACCATGGATTCGTAAAAACATTGGTTTTGCTTTCTAATTTTTCATTTTTCCAAGTTTGGTTTCTATTTTGGGGAGAATGAAAACTTTTACTTTGTAGTATTTTTTTTATGTCTAAAGAAAAAGTAAAAGAAGAGAAAGAGTCAAAGAAGATGTTAGGAAACACAAATGGCCACCCACAATTCTCTCAACATCGACATCAATCAATCCACAAAAATTAAAAAAGTCTTAATTCACTAATCACTCAAAATTCAAAAAAAAAAATGCAACAAGAAACACTATAAATACACTTCGTATCAAACCAATTCAATCAATCAAAGCTAAAACAATTCTCCTCTCACAAACTTCAAATCCTCTTCTATCCCTTTTGAATCATCAATCATGTCGCAACAACAATTCAACGCTGGCCAGAACAGAGGCCAAGCTCAAGTCCGTTCTCCGATCTCAATCTTTCCTACACATTATAGTTATCAACTTCAAACCGTATTATCGATAAATGTTTTACCAAATCCTAAGCATATTTAATGTTTATGTATGGTTTTGATGGTTATGGCAGGAGAAAGCTGAGCAATGGACCGAGTCTGCGAAGCAAACCGCACAGTCCGCACGTGATAAGACTGCTGATTTGACACAATCAGCACGTGACAAGGCTGCAGATTTGACACAATCAGCTCGTGACAAGTCCGCTGATGCATCTCATTCCGCTAACAAATCTGCACAACATAACCAGGAGCAAGCTGCTGGTTTATTCGGCCAGGTAAATTTGTTTACATAACTATATATAATTGTTGAAACTAAAATACAAAATTTGCTAACAAAACTGATATATAAACCCTTAAATCTATATACGTAGACCGGTGAATCAGTGAAGAACATGGCTCAAGGTGCTCTTGATGGTGTTAAGAACAGTCTTGGCATGAACGAGAAGAAATGAGAATATGAATACTCATACTTCTCAACTATTTTATTTAAAATATATATGAATAATTTCTTGTTTTTTGAAATTTTGGGTTTCTCCAAATTATGTTTGTAATAAGATTATTTGTTTTGAAAGATTTTGTGATCATGTGATCCGAAATCTGAGATGTAATAAGATGTTGTAACATCACAGCTTTCAATTTTCTATTTTAAAGGAATGAATCAAATTAGCAACACTCTTAATTACAATATATATTAGAACTAATCGTGTAATCCTAGAAGTGAGCTAGTCCGAGCCATGAACGAATAACGTGGCCGATAATAATTCAATGAATTAGTAAATAATTATATATAATTATTCCAATTAGTTAATAATAATGAAAGCTAGTTAGGAATTATGATTGGTCTGAAAAAGCAAAAATGGGAGTTTAAGACCAAACGACGTCGTTGAAGTGAAGATAATCTCATGTAGTACATAAAGTTTGTGTTTCGTTGCAGTACACAAAGAACACCGATCTTTTAGTACATACGAAAACATGCATTATTTTAAGTAAGAAGAATATTAACAATGTTTTTGTATTGCAATCACATGAAAACTAAAGGCAACTATAATTTAAAAATCCTGAAAAAAGAATCTGGAACCCCAAAAAAATACGATTTAGTACAATTCCTTAATCGTACTCAGTAGTACAAGAAAACATTGTACTGCTTCCAAACTAAAGACACGACCAATGTCTTATAAATGTTTGTGTTTATCTCCATGGTAATAGAAATGAGCAAGAAGAGAAATTTTTTCCCTGGGTTTGAATAAACATCATTGAGTGCAGCGTTGATGTAAGTACTTATTTTATTCCATTGTTGAATGAATTAAAATGATACATTATACATCAGCGTTGCATTCAATTATGTTTTTCTAATTTTCAGGAACTACAAAAGAAAAAAATCACATAAAAAACCCCTGAAAGTTATTATGACTCCAAACTTAAATTTCTAATATTCTCGACTCCTACAACAAACTTTCACCATACAAAATAATCAAGAAAAACACTCAAAAAGGATTGAATGTATGAGGTTAGTCTCACTAACGGAATTGTGAACAATTTCGTTAAGAAATAGTGACTTGGTTTTGAAATGTATTTTTTTTTTTAAGAATAATATATTTTAGCTTTTTTTAAAAAATGTATATATATAACATAAGACCTGAGGTAGCAAGGTAAAAGAGACAGAAAAATAAAAAAATTTTAATTTTTTCAAGTTTATACTTTATAGTAAAGGAGTTTTATTTCTTTTGAAAAATATATTTAAAAACAATGTCACTATTTAAAACGGAAAATGGACATTTCTATTAATGAGATTAATGTCGAACATTTGGATTTCTATTTGAGTACTTTTTTTTGTAAGTTATTTTGTATGTTGAAGGTGTATTGTAGGAATCGGAAAAATCTAACTTTCAAGATTCTTATGAGAATTTTACCTTTATCCATTTTAGAATATAAATTGTGGGTTAGTTTTTTTTAGGATTAATTTCATTACTAAAAATAGTTTGATGTGTCTAGAGCGGTCTAATTCGTGAAATTTTCTTTTTTTTTTCTTTTGTTTTAGAGATATGAAAATTTGTATCAGGAAAAAACAAAAAATGTAGATAATGTGTGCTCGTTTGCTCGAGTTCGTAGATACAAACATCGTCCTGAGTTCAAATGTGTATAGGCACACACTTGCAACAAGCACAAATCATCTTGTTGTAGAAAAAATTTTGAGCAAGGTTCAATTAGCTTCTTAAACAATGAGTTTTCTGTGTAATGATTATCTCTTGTTTGAGATCTACAAGGGTTCTCTCGATATACATTGATAATTTAGGGTGATAGTAGCGAAAGGTAGCCATTATGTCTGCCTCAGTTTCATCATCATTACAAGCATATATGCATTGAATGCATGTGCGTTGAGAAGTTGCGCGTGTTTTGGCAAGGTTAGATTTGCCCAGTCTTAAGAACCCGTGTTTTTTTCACTTGTTTTGATGGTACATGGTGATTGACTGATTGGAAATGACTACACTAAGGTAAGACATTTTACAAATATAATTTCTTGTATCTCCTTGTATTCTACATTTCTACTAAGACCATCTTTAACGGTCAGCTCTTAAGAAAATCTTAAACAGATCTTAGTAATTAAGTGATTTAAATTAATTCCAAAATCAACTTTAAAGTTAAGAGCGTGTCTTAATTAAGAGACAAAAATCTCGTTAAGAGACGGCCACGTGTCTTTCTTTTCTCTCTCTCGCTCGCGATTTCACCGATGAAAGGGAAACCGGAGGAAATCGACTCAAATCGGATTAAGATATCTTCTCTTATGTCGTTTGATTTTGGGGAAACTTGAGTTAATCATCTCCGGTTCTAAGCAATCGTATCCGAGTTCAGCTGAGTTTGATTCTGGTGTGGATGATCTTCACAATCCTAGAAACTATGTCATATGGAGTTGTAACATGAATTCGTTTATTCTTCCGAGTTATATCGTCAGTTTTAGGTCTCCTCGTCTTAGAGGTTACATAAACATTATCTTTCTGTAAGGTTTCTTTTTTTTTTTATGAATTGGTATTTGTGATTTTATAGTTGCTAAAGGATTGGTTTGGTGTGTTGTTTTTCAGTAAGTAGAGGTGGTTTTGCTGCAAGACCTAAAAATCTATAATTTATCTCATTTGGTTAATTGGGAAGACAGAGAGATTCGTAATCCATGCAGAGAAATAGCTCATCTGCTCGTAACCCTTCTTTCGCCGGAGCTGGCGTCACCGTCGAAAAAACCATACAGTTTTGACGCCTTGATGTCAATGTTGTCTAAATCAATGGATCCTTCAAGAATGAACTTGATCATCCGAACTTACGATGATTTTCGGGTATGGAATCCAGTTTCCTTATTGTATGTTCTGTTCTATGATTCTTGATATTCATTACTTAGATTCAATGTGGGTTTATATTACAGAAACGAAAGATCAGGAGAGACCAATTGGTTAGGAAGATGAGAGAAGTGGCTGAGACAATCTTTTGGCTGAGATAATCTTTTGAAGGTTTGTTGTCTTCCTGACATGTATGCAGATACTCTTGTTAACCTTATGATTGTAATTTAAATGTGCAAAGAAATTGGTAGTTTTTGTTTTGGTGATATATGAACTCATTTTTAGCAGAGAATTGAGTTAATATCTGAAATTGCAATCTTAAAGTTAGTGTTGAGTAACTGCAGTCACCTTTCTTACGTCCTGGTCTTGTTTTGTTGGCTTAGAATCTGATGTAGATGTTGTGTGTATTTTGACCAAAACCATATCTTTTTTTTTCTCCACAAAACCAAAACACATAAACCAAAACCATATCTATCTTTTCTCCACAAAATCAAAACACAAAAACCAAAACACATAAATTTGATCAAAACACAAAATAACCAAAATACTTAACCAAAACACAGAATTTTTTAAACCAAAACACAATAATTATGAATCAAAACACTTAAAAATTTTAATAACCAAAACATTTCAAATTTTTAAGAACCAAATCACTTCAAAACAATTTTTTTTTAAGAACCCCAACTTAAGATACTACCATTGGACAATGCCAAAAATTTAAACTCTTACCCAAACTCTTAAGTTTGAAATTTTCAAAATTAACAATTAAAATATTCTAAGATCCAATATTAAGACACTACCAATAATGTTGCTCTAAGAGTTTTTATTATTTCGGTAGTTAATGGACATGGAAACCCATTTATATCCACTAAGATAAATGAGATATGTTCCACAAAAAACTGGAAGTATCAGAAATCATTATCCTTTTGAAACTTTAAAGGTAACATTTGTGGGGAAAAACGGTTTATTTCTCTACGAGAAGTATCACACCATAACAGATAGAGCCCAAACTTTAGTCCCTGAAATGGAAGTTCTATTCCTATTTCCCCCCGAATCGAAAGTTCAATACCTAATGTCCCCGAGTCTGGGTTTCGTCGGTTTGGTGCGTAGACCCGAGATCAAACCATATATTGGTCGTAACTTAACCAATAAAAACCCGATTCCGTATTAAAACCCGACCCAGTATGCGTTTAAACCCCAAAATTCTAAATCCCCAAATTTTGAAATCCCCAACTCAAGAACCCTAAAATTCTCATATTTCGATTTGAAACCCAGAATTCGAGTTGCAAGATGAGCAATATATCAACGAGTTCGGCGGGATCTATAGGTCCTTGTGGAAGAGGCAGAATAGTTGGGGTGCCAAAGAGATGTTGGTGCGGAGAAGATATTGTTGCATTAATTTCAAAATCCGACCCCAATCCTTGTCGGATACTATCGTTGTGGTTTTGCTGCAAAATATAGGGTTTTTTCATGCCTCTGTTTCAACTGTTTTGAATTGAATCTTGTTTGAGATTATACTACTCGATCAATGACTGTTAATTTGTATCTTAGGAACGATGAACACACGTTCAAATGGGTTGATGAAGCCTTGCTCAATGAGATAGAGACATTAAAAGAAAAGAATAGTGAACTTGAGGAGGAGCTGAAAGAGCTTAAAACAGAGAGTTTGGAGTTCGAGAAGATGGTTTGCGAGAAGGTCCAAATGAAGATAGAGAAGGAGATATTTGAGAAGGTGGAAGATGCTTTGTCTGAAGCCAAAGGAAGCACTAAGAAGATGATGATTGTCGTAGTGATAGGGTGTATGATCATGATTGGATTCAACAAACTAGTCGGATGAACCATTGATCACATCATTGTTTTTGTTGTATTTGTTTAATGTTTTTGTTTTGGTTCTAGCTTTAGATTTATGATTAAAACAATGGTGTTTGTAGTTTGGATTTATGATCAAGACATTATGTATCAAGAAATTCTTCAAAATACAGCCATCAATGCCAACAAGAGGCCTACAACTCTCTTTCCAAGTCTTTCTAATGCAAACAGCCATCAATGCAAGACAAACATAGAACATGATGAACATGTCTTTACCTTCATCATTCGCGAGACAATCAATTTCTACATGTGAATCCGGGTTTGCATCAAGTATCTCAGCCGCATAGTCTCTTAATCTTGCAAACTGATCATCGTATTCCTTCTCAATCCATTGCCCTGCCTTCTTCCTCGTAGCCTGACATTGATTTCTAGTGACATTGATCTTCCATTGTTCCTTTATGAGTTCTTCAATCTTAGATGGCATGTAGAATTTCGGATTATCTTTAATCTTATCAACAAACAACCTAGCTATATGCGGCATCTTAAACATCTCACACTCTCCATTTGGGATGCAGCTATGCTTATCTATGAACTTCCTAATCACTCATATACTTGCCAATCACACCGTACTCCCTCCTCCTTACCATCATTACCAACACATTTGAAATCAATCTTATCTTGATCATACATGTACTGCTTCAGATTGCATCCAGTTCTGACAGCATCATCAACGACCGCTTCTTTGAAAGCAACTCCACTGAAAAATGTTTGTTTATGGTACAAATGCCCATCACCGCGCCTAATATGAGTATGAAATCTCCCTGGACCGTCGTCGTTTTCTTCACCATCGCTCTCTCGGTACACATCATGACAGAACATGGGTTTGTCGGTCCACTCATTCAACATTTCTTCGATGTGGAATTGATCTCTGTCTTCACCTTCAGGATCAACATCACCTATAACCTCCAGATCATGAACGACTAAAGACATCGCACCTTCGAGTTTGAGAAGCAAATTAGAACCTTCGATTTCACAATTTGTCTCTAAGGTTCTTTTGATTTGGGGATTTTATATTTTAGGGTTTCGATTTGGGGATTTTAGGTTTAGATACTTAAATCGGGTCGTCATTGGGCAAAAATCGGGTTTAATCTGGTTATAATTAGGTTTAGTTGGGTTTTTAATTGGTTTTGAATACAGTAAACCGATAAACCTAGCTCC